ATGAAGTACAAAATTCCAAATTAATATATTTTACAATCATAAAATTCTCAATTAAAATAAACACAAGCTGAATTCCAAATTATATTACATGAAAAAATAACTACTTGAACCATACAATATCCATAATATACAATGCCATAATAATTCTGTTCAACCAACAAAAAATTTGTCAAGCATTAAACTATTAGCAAAATCACCAGGCCTCAACTCCATCCCTTCTTGCCATGCTTATTGCAACACCCACACCTATATGCCTATTGTCTCAAACCCTCAAGTTTCAATCGCTTTCATCGATTTTTCATACTTTAGTTTCAACAATACTGATTAGCGTTTTCAAGCAATTTGAGATCTTATAAGAAGATGTCAAGATTGAAACTTATTCATGGTAATTGTCGGATCATACCCTTTTCTTTTTTTTTTCCCCACTTGGGAATTTGGATTCCTAGCTACTTGGTAGCAATAAGACATCGAAAATTCTGAAAATTCAAACTCTTTTATTTCGAGAACTGTCAAAATATATCATGTTTCTACATAATTTGTTTTAGTGATATATAGTATGTGACGGTATGTGTAGGTGGTGAATCACGACATATGAGAAAGTCTTTTTTTTTTTTTGGTAAAATAGAGATGCATTAAATAAAAGTCAAAATCTATAGAGTAATAGTTAAAGTAAAGTCATCCGTGTGTTGATGACACCTTTTAAGTCTTGCAAAAGTAAGGGAAGGTTAAAATCAGGATAGGATTAAAAAAAGGTGGAGTCTTCATTAATGCTCCTTCCCAATTCGCTAGCACATTTGCACATTTGTTTACTTTGCAGCAGTTATGGTTAAAACATAACTGCTGAAATGTAGTCAACAGATCCCTAGAGTAAAAAACAATAGGAGAAATTTTATGAAAAATAAGGTTATTTGACTTAAATAAAGAGATGATACCTTAGCCAAGGAGAAGAAGATGATAAAATTACTTTTCTGATTATTTTAGAAAATGACAACATTATCTCAAATCAGAGACAGAATCTCTAGGATCTACTAAGGAAAATAATACAATTAGTCAATTTTTTGAATTAAAAGTATCAAAAAGCAAACTATATAGAGTTCTTGAATAAACCACTCATCAGGGAAAAAAACTATATTCGAATAAGACAAACCCAATGAACTCATCTCAATTTAAAAGAAAAGCTACGCCTTTCACCAAATATTTAATAGCCATAATAAAACAAAAAATGTGAAACCGAAAAAGAAGAAAGGATATTGGCTTAACATGGCGGCATAAATATGATAATGATTGTTCAAATAATAATTAAGTTAATTAATTATAATTAAAATCCAATTATATAAACATCCAATTAATTCCTTAACAGATGAGAAAAGTTTTCAGGAAATTGGAAGACTTGGATGTTAGTATAATAAATGATTAAAAGGGCTTTTATGTAATTCTATCAAAACACAAACTTAATTTAGTTGTACTTAATATTCAATTTGGCACCAAACATTGTAACATACCAAACCTGCCCCTAACCTTCAATGTCTGAAAGGTTATATATGTAATTATAGCGAAATTGAAATTGTAATGACTTTTACTCAATACTCCAATTACACTTCAAACACTCTAACATTTCCAAAATAGTCTCACACTCGCAGTTGAAATCTAAAAACCGTTTTTGTCCTAAACTCGTTCTTGTATAGTATAAAGATTTTATCTTAATCCATGGACAGTTAATTATAAGGTATAAAGTGTTTATATTTAAAGTTCAAAAGAACGAAGTATTACTAGGGGTCAAGTTTCAAGGAAGGCGATTGGAGTTCTAAGAAGCAAAGTGTTGCTATGAACTTAAAATAGGACGGGAAGTTTTTTTTTGGAGGGGGTGGCGGGGGATTGTTGGAACTGCAACAAGCGGTATAAATAAAAAAAATTTACTACTGAAACTTTAATTTTTGCAAACTTCCCCAATGATTAAAGACAGAATAAAGCCCAAGATTACACCTTGTTGAGACTTGTAGTACTTCACAGCTGGATTGGTAGCTTGCCGACTACGGCCCAAAGTTGAAGTCTGGTGGACAAGTAGTCTTTGTTTGGTCGTTTATATTTGTCATGGGCTCCATCGAGGTGTCCTCGAGTCTGAGAGAAGTTACCGAGGCGCCTGCAAGTCCAATTAAGTAATTACAATATTTAGACTAGTTTTTTTTTTTTTTCAAAAATATTTAGAGTAGTTATTGGTGCTAAGAGCACACTCGATATGTGTGTAATTTAGAAACAACCATTTTTTTTTTTTAAAATATGGTTCGATTTCTCAAAACTGAATTTGAGTCCCACTCTCTAAGAGTTAGAATAATGGATGATGTTATAATTCATGATCATGATTTTGAAAACTACCAAAAAATCACAAAATTGTGGAAAGTCGTCAAAGAGGAAAGCTACAAGGAAAAAGAAAAATGGATACATATATACACACATCTTAAAAAACCTTACTGTATGTAACAATTCGGAAAAATTAAAAAAAGATCCAAGATGAGGCCGTGTGGTATGCCAGTGGGATGCATGAAAGTTTTGTGAAAACCACAATATTAGCAACAGGGCAGAGAAATAGTTCTTGCGTGGCAGGTATCTAAATTACAGGAAAAGAAGATGAAAACTGATCGAGTGGTGGAAGAGGAAAATACATATATGGATCAAAACTCAAAAAGTTTGAAAAGTGCGTTGATCAGTTCATGGATTGCTGGATGACAAGAAACCAATGCCGCCTAAGCAAGAGACAATTATTACTGGAGAAGGACTGAGGGATAAGAAGTGATGTATCTGTGTTCGAGTTTTCCTCTTTGTTGAGTTGTTGATGTTTGATCTCACATGGCAAGTTGGCAAAGAAAGGAAACAAAAGGTGAAAAAGAAACGAAAAAGGCAATGTGGTGAGGATCCTCCTAGCCAGAGCATGCGTACTTTGGTGACATTATCCTCCCACAGTCCCATTTCATGGACGATGAATGATGATGGATGATGATGGACCCTTCTTCTTCTTCTTTTGGGTTATCCACCATTGAGAAAAAGAGAAGATTTATGAATGATTGGATTTGTCACTAGGACTGCTTCTCCTGTATAAACTGTCCCTTCTTCTTCTATAGTCCACATATACAGTCAGCTACCAGCTGCTGCAAACCCTCCTCCGTGATCTCGATAACTCCTGTTAATGGTTGTAAAACAACATCTTCAGACCGAGTATTTTTAGTTTCTTTTAAGTGTCCTCGTGTGGCTGAAAAGCTTGCTTTGCTATGGATTTGATTGGACTGTTTGATTTTAACGGCTATGTACTGCTGTCAAGAACAAAATGTGGACCAAATCCAAAAGAAGACAGAGAAATACGGATGGCGGGGAGGGGAAATCAGAGTTTTGACATGAATAATCTACATCTTAAAAGTGGGATACTTTATCTTTGAAACTTTATCAAGTAAGTACTGATTCAAATAAAAGTGGGATACAAGCCACAGCAAATGGTTTTGATGTGGCCCTCCTTTGCCATACTACACACGAGAAACTAACACATCGGATACTACTGATTCAAATAAAAAAGAGACTGTTTTATAGAATATTATGGTTCAGGGCCAGTTAAGAATGAGGCTTTAATCCATAGCATGTTTACGTACATCTGATCGTGGGAAACAATAATGTTAGTCGCCAAAATGGATAAATGTAAATTGAATCCAGTAGTTTGAAGCAAGACAGGCAGGAATACTGAGTACCGGTAAATTAGCTGATGCGCAAAACCACCACCACAAACAACTGACCGGTGAAAAATCCACCTTCCCTGAGTCGTTTCACAAGTCGATTTCGGACTAATCAATGATACTTTTGAAACTGGTCACTTTTACGTGTTACAAATACTATGGAATAAGTAGGTTCTGGTTGTGTTTCTGCCACATATAATGGTGCCGTCCCTGCAGGGGCAGGGCATCATCCAAGTTTATCATTCACTGCAATCTTAAGCTATCTAAAAATTTGTCGTCAATTGTTAACACGTTTTATTTTATGGATTCGTTCGTGGTTGATAACTTCAATTAAGATTCTTCAATGATGTTGACTTTCAGGGTCATGTCGCCTAACCCGAATTTTCAATTAGCGGCTGAAATTCAAGTAGCTGGACCTCTTACTCAAGATAAAATTGTTGCCAATTGTATGACAACACATTTGTGCGCCTGCAGATTTTCCCGAGAGCAATCTAATAGGGAAAGCCAAACAAAAAAGAAAGGGGGATCAAGAAATGAAGGACACGTACATGTTGATTAGAAGAGTGCCTCCATCTAACAAGCAATGATCAGCGCATCATTATGTATTTGAATGCAGGTGATAGTTGGAAGCATAATACTTCATATAGTTTCATGGTAAAATGTAGTAATAAATAATTAACACAAGTAATAAAAACTGAATTGTCATTTCACAAATGATTCAGAAGAATGCCGTCGAATTTATCCCCACAGCCCCACAGCCTCTGCACCAAAGTCTTTAACAACCATTTTGCTAAGCTAAATTCCCTATTTTACTTTTCTTCACGTTCGTGTCCCACTCCATCTTTCACCTATCCACGTCGCACAAAAACTTTCGGTCAGTTCGGGGTCCCCAGCATTCTTGGCACCTCTTTATTCCAATCAATGCAACATTGCTATGCCTTCTCCTCCTCCTCCTCCTTCAATTCTAGTTCCTGTCACCCTCATCCCTGTTATTCTTTGTATTAAAGTTTCAAATTTAGCGTTCAGAGAATCTGATCTGTTATTTACTTCATCCCTCATCCAAGTCATCTTAATCTCGAAGTTCATATAAATGCTTAGACTTGCGTGCAAATTCAGTTAATTTTTACAGGTGGGATTCTTTATTTGATCCTCGGAAGTTTGGCCCTCCATTTTAATGCTCCTGTTGTTCTCCTTTAATTCCAACTGCTTGATGTGAATGCTTCTTTACTTGTTCTCTGCTACAAGTTTTTAACGTGTTGCTTAGCAGTGGTAGTCTATTAGGCAATGGCTGTCGAAATCTGTTCAGAGACTTCCAGCATGGGAGCGAGTCCTCGGATCTCATTTTCTCATGATCTTTCCCAAACAGAGGGAGTTCCCATTGAGCAGTACATCCGAACAACTTCATCTTCAAGTATTGATTTTGATTTTTGCGTATTTCGCGAAAGCTTTGATCAAGAATCTTCTTCAGCTGATGAACTTTTCTCCGATGGCAAGATTCTTCCCATTGAAATCAAGAGAAAATTGGGTCCAAGTTCACCAAGTAAGTCCTCGACATCATCATCATCAGAGGCAACTCCAACACCAATATCAGCACAAACTCCACAGCCTTCATCAGATGATCATGACATTGTGGACCCTATCAAGAGCCCGAAAAGCGATAAAACTTCAAGCGAAAAAAGAAGGGGTGTTTCAGAATCAGATGAAAAACCAAATGGCAAGTCATTTTGGCGGTTCAAGCGCAGTTCAAGTTTAAATTGTGGAAGCGGTTATGCAAGAAGTTTATGTCCTCTGCCACTTTTAAACAGAAGTAATTCGACCGGTTCTACGCCAAATGTGAAGCGCTCATCATCAGGGAAGGATAGTAATTTAAGCAATAAGCAGAATTCATTGAAGCAGTCGCAGTCTGCATTATCTGCCGGTGGATATCAGAAGCCTCCACTGAAGAAAAGTTACGGCTCTTATGGCAATGGTGTTAAGGTTACTCCATTCTTAAATGTTCCTTCGCCGAGTATGTTTGGTTTAGGTTCTATTTTCTCCCCTGGCAAGGATAAGAGCAAGAAAAAGTGACCATTTTTCTTCATTTTCCTAATAAATTTGTTGAGGGGTAGTTCTTGATCTCTCTTTCTTTCCCCCTTCTTTTTTTTTTTTTTTTTTCTGGTTCTTGATTTAATGATTTCTAGAGTGAATCAAAATGTAGTTCTGATCTATTATTGTGGAGAGAAAAAGAAGAGTGGATAATTAGGCCATGCTGTCGGAGAGCCAAAAACAGGTAACATTTGCTTTCAGGGGATGTCCCATTGTGCTTTTAAATTTGTGCTTTTGGTTTTGCTAGCACATGCTGTTGTTGCACATATATTTATCTTTATTTTATTTTTTCGCCCCATACATCTTTGTATTCTGGATCCACGGAGGCTGGCTGAAGACAAAGTAGTTGGTTTTCTTTGCCAGAATGATTGATATACGTTTATCATTACTACTACTATGGTGGTTGATCAGCGTATCTTATAGTGGTTGGTCGTACATTTTTTCTTTGGATTGCTGGAGAGAGACAAATAAAGCAAAACTAGTTGGAGATTTGGAGTTTCCAGAGCACAGGATTTCGTCAGTTGTGAAAAAAAAAGGGTAAAAAATGTTCAAGTACACTTGGAATCAGGGACGGAACTAGAAAAAAAAATTTTTTTTTTTCTCTCTTTCTTTACCATCCTACTACAATTGCACCCAGGATACCATACACGAATTGGGAGAATGATGATACTTTTCACCCTAATCCGAATGAGTTATTTTAAGAATCAAAAGAACTTTGTCAATTGAGTATTGAGCAAATCACTCCGTTGGCAATGTTTACTTACTCATCCCCAAAACAACCGAAATATGCACAAGAAAATTTGACATTATTGTTCCCAATGGATTGATCAACATTGCTAGTCCATCTAAAAATATCCCACATGCAAGTCCAGGATACGATTTATTATCCTCTTGCGCCAAAAACAAACCAAAAAAAAAGAAGAAGAAGGATTGATCATCTCAGATGAGATGATGCAACATCATTTGTGAGTGAAGGGGAACTAATAGTGCCTATAAAGGAACTTGCAGCAGCATTTATGTTGGCCGATGCATGCCCCGTTTTCCCATCCATCACCTTCTTTCACGCATATCTGGACACAGGCAAACTTGTCACATACCGGGAGATCAAAAGACTTGGCGCAAGTGTACTCGGTCTCTTGCGTCAAACTCAAGCCTGCATTTTCAGTTGATAAAAAGTAAACTCAAACAAGCACGCATGGATGGAGTTTCCCTAAAACCCCAGGAAAAAAAAGGAGAAATAGCAGTGATACTGAAAAGGGACAGCGAAATTACCAGTGGAGAACAAATTGGAGAACACCAGAAGCAGAACGAAAGCAACTGAACTCTGCATTGTGAGCAACAGCTGGGAACAACAGTTTTTCTTTATGCCTTGGGTACGATCGTTCCTTCCCTTCTTTCTCCAGTCATATGTAAGTTCAATGGTTTATAAATTCCAAGGACTATTAATTATGTAATACCTACTTTCCTTCTGAAACTGTAATAGTCCAAAATCCATATTTAATTCTTCTCGACTTTTTGTGCATAATATATATCTGGCGTACATCTTCCAGATAGGAGAGCATCCTCGGAATGACCGCGCACCCTGACCCAACTGAAGCACGCTCTCTCGCAAAGCCCATATAAGGTTCCGAGGCAGCCTATCCTCCAAATGATCGTTTTCTCCATTTTGGGCTGCCAGTCATGTTTCAGCAGTTGCATTGAAATGTAACAGGAGCTAAGGTGTCTGATCATGAATTAAAGCCACCTTCTAACTTCTGGCCCAAAACAACTTTCTTTCCCCCTTAAGAAAAGAGTTGCTTGAGACAAAAAAAAAAAAAAAAAGTGATTTGATAAAAATATTGTAGCTGAAATATTAGAGCGATTTAATATATGTAAGGTAAAAAAATAATTAAAAAATACGTTAATAGAAAACATAAAATGTTTTTGGACAAAACTAGCGATCCAAGCAAGGAATGTCTTTCAACCAAAAAGAAGTTTTCTTTTTTTGGTCAACACAGGATATTTTGACTTATCCCAGATTAATCTCTTGCGATTGTGCAGAGCCTGTCCAAAATGCACGACACATTACCGGCAGGGATCGATCTGACGACTTTGAGTAAAGGCCCGATAGCAGTTACCATACGAATTGCTAGCTGGAATTTGGAAAAGATTATTAGTAGTTTCAGCTAGCATTTTGCAGGCTAAAAGTTGCATTGACTAAGTAAAATATAATCAAGTAAACGTCGTCAGACATTGAGTTTGTTTGGATAAGAGTTTATTTGGATGATTTATTTAAGATATTTACTGTAATATTTCTTATGATGTGATGTATGTGAGATAAAAAAATGATTGAAATTTATGAGAATAAATTTTACAAATCAAATTATCTTTGTCCAAACAAACTCATTATACTTAGCGTCTTCTTGGCATGTTTAAATGCCGGCATTAAGAGTCACTTGTAAAATAGTTTGATGCTTGATATCAGTCCCCTGCCAGTCGGCAGCAAACCACAATATTATAATTATCATAACAATCGGTAAAACCTTTAGGAATTCTCGAGAGCATGAATAAAGAAATGATCTCCAACACGTTTTGTCGTTGAACGCAGAATTGATTGACAGCTCAAGAAAACGTCCGTGGAAAAGCAGGAACATACCGCTTCGGAGTAGTAATTTTTTTTTTCTTACCTTTCCTTGGACTGTGGAAACCTTGGGAACTCACGTGTACTAAATTAGTAATTTTTAAAAGAGTTTCTACTTCGACTTTTACGATTTTATTTAAGTAATCTTTCTGACTCGCCCTATCACACGCTGTCCACTCCCCTCCCAATAAAGTCGCTGACGTGTCTCAACGTAGCCGCGCGTGGCACAATTTCTCCCGTAACTGCAACTATCTTTTGATGCACGTCGATACATTCAAAAAATACGCTCCAAAGTCCAAAACCTCCACATCCCGACAGCGCAAGTCAGCAGGCGGACGTAGACGCAACGTTACCAGTTTCACAGTCCTGTTCATTTACCTTTTCCACCTAGATACGCCTGATAATGGAATTAAAAATTGTAGAACCAAACAAAACAAAAACATTTTATTTTGTTATTTAAAAATTTCATCATAGAGGGCATGTTGCTGGGCAAAAATAAATAACTCCTCCTGTAAAATCTTTTCAGCATTTTACGCCCTACCAAGCAACATAGAGATATTAGTCCCTCGGGGTTTGGCTCGGGTGTCATCAGAGTAGCTCCTTTTGAGTCCTGAGATTGTGTGTTCGAATTGTTCCTCCTACCATTCTGTGTGTCCTTGGGGGCGGAATACACAGGCATAGGAAAATTAATTCAGTAAAAAATTGAAATACTTCCTATGTTAAAAAAAAAAAAAAAACCAACATAGAGATATACCCTCGAAACTAAGCTATATGCCTAATTTCCCCCTTTCAGCTAAAATTAAATTGAGAATTAAGTAAACAGACACATAGTTTATTTTGTCCTTTTCCCTTTGTAATGAGCTCTAAAATGGAAATTTTTGTTGGTACTGCAATTTTTAGATAATTTGTAAAATTCTAATTTGATTGTAATTTTAGTCTTTTTTTAAAACGACCATGTTACATCAAACAACATGACTATCAATTTTGAGAATTTTTTTAAACGTAATAAAAACAAAAAAATGTTGAAAAAATGGACAATTTTTATGTAAAACTACGATACATGTTAAATTCACACCGTACACTATAACCTATATATTAATAACTTGTATCATCACAATAAGACTTCATTAATCACTCTTCTTTTAACATACACCCAATAACCTAAAAATGATCTACTAGACGTTACTACTCTTCCAAAAAGGGGAAAAAATTTACTATATGTTTAAGAAACAAAATGCACCCAAAGATAAAGCTTGTAACGAACCAAATTGAGTCAAATACTTGTTGTTCAGTTTTGCTCATATATTATACAAACGAGATTAGAGTTCGACCCAAGTATCAAACAAATTATAAGTATTGATCAATTTTAAGTCGTTTATTTATATAAATATTAAAGTTTGATTTCACTCGTTAAACAAAATGAGTCGAATTTAAGTTTGAAGATAATTTAATTATATTTTTAATAAATAATATATTATTCAGAACAAGTTTAATTACATTTCCTGGTTTTAAAAAATAAATAATACTAATTTATGTATAATTACTTTTTAAATAAAATAAAATATATATTAATAATATTAAATATATTTATATTTGTATTTATTTATTTTTATATTTATATATGTGTTTAAGAATTTTCAGAAATAAGTTTGTGTTCGATTATTATGCTTAAATTCAATTCGATTGAACATTTTTTTTTTTTGAATTCGAAGGAGCTAAAATAAGCATATTTATGTTATGAAGGGTCGCTCGATTCATTGGAAGCTCTACTCAAAGGCCAAGGCTTTCAATTTGTATAAGATGCGAGTTTACAACGAACTTTGCCTAAAGTAAGGGGATCGTTGTCCAACCAAACGAACCAGAGTGCAAGACATTTGTTAGCATTCGGTGACATCTTTCTCCATCCCCATCTCTGAAATGTAAATGTTGACAAATCCATGAGTCCGCGTGGTTGCTCTGCTTGTCCCTTTCTATTCTTATCATACGCCTACTCTCCTTCACTAACTCACTCACTCTCACTCATCCCTCCATATCCTCTCTCCCCTGTCTTCACAGTGGCACAGTCCCTATTCACAGTAAAATTTGTTCAGAGCAGCCGTTTTCACAGACGGATTTCCTTTACCTGCAACCGTCCCTGCCCCGAGTCCTTCACAGCACAGCCTTTTCTCCCTTGTTCCCTTTTGTCAGCTGCTAAAATCTCTGTAAAAACTCTTTCTTTCATTCATTTCTTTCTTGGGCCTCAAAATATACAACTCCCTGCTCCTGCTATTCTGAGTCCCCTTTGATTATCCCTTTTAATTTCAAAAAACAATCAATCATCAACATTCAACTCTATAATAGTACTTAGAGTAGTACTTGTACCAATATGTCCAACTACTACTTGTAGTACATCTTTTTGAACTACAGAAAGCTTACGTGGGGTATATATCTATAGAGAATACTAGTGCACTAATCTGAGATGGCGGGGTACGAATGGGTAATTTTTTTTTGAAGGGAAACAGCAAGCTGAGGTGAAATGTGTCTGCTTTACCTGGTCGAATTTCCGTTGTTTAGCGACTGTTTTCTTGTGAAACTTTCTTATACGTTATCTAAGGTTCACTCTCACCAGCATTGACCGGCATTCTTGTTTGTTAGTATCTTTGAGATTCGTTTATTTTGGGTATTTCTTCTAGGATCTTTTCACGCTCTTTCTGTCTTTTGGGGAAAAATGTGATCTTTGGAGGACAAAGATAGATATTGGAAGTGTAAGATATAGACAGAAGGGATTCTTTGTTTCCATTTATCTCTTTGCTTTCTACTGTTGCAAGTATTTTGTTAGGTGCATTGTTTAAAGATGAGGAGATGAGAAGTCGGGGTGTTCAGTGATAACCAGAAAAAGTTTGAATACTGGGGTGGAGGATTTTTGGGCTAACATGAGAATAAATGTGGGATGATGTAAAGCTTTTCGGTGTTTTATGAAGAGGATTTTAGATAGTGTTTAGAAAATTGGGTTCGAGAGGGGTCTAGTGTGTGCATTACTGGAGAAATGAGTGAAATTTCAGGGCAAACGACTTTAGCCATTGTGGAGAAGAGGCCTCAGAGGCCTGGTGGGTGTGCCGGCATCCTTTTTCAGGTATTTGATTGGAACAGGAAGTTTGCAAAGAAGAAGCTTTTTTCTAAGAAATTGCTTCCACCAGGTTAGCCTTTAGTCTTAACGCATTTTTGTTACCTCTTGTTTTGTTAACATGCTTGTGATATATGCGTTATAACACGAGATTCGTTGTTAAAATTGTGTTAGTTCGTCTGAGAAAGTCTTCAAAGAAGTTTGGAGTAGATGAAAAGCTGCCAAAGCTTCGTTTGGTATGCACTACATCAGTTAATTTTCAGTGCTTTGGTTTAATGATTATTTTGGAATAGTGACCACCACCTAGAATGCTTGTTTAGTTGCTTTGCTGGTTCTAATTATTCGGATACCCTTTTTTCCATGAATGACATAGATTGCTGATGAGAACAGTGGTGGATTTCCTTATATGAAGAAGAATGAGGGCTGTTGTAACGGTGACACTGCACAAAAGAATGAAATGCGAGCTCCTGGATTGGTTGCTAGACTCATGGGTTTGGAATCAATGCCTGCTGTAAAGCAGGATAAGTCAAAGAAGACTTTGTTGTCTGGGAGTGGAAGCGATAAAGAGGAATTTGTACATAGACATGGCAGGTTTGAGAGGGAGGAGTTGATTGCAGAGAAAGGAGAGACAAAACAGGAGTTCAGGCCTCAAAAGCTACAGAAGACTGGACTAAGTGAGAGAAAGCCAGTGACTAAGTTTGGATCTGAGGCATTGCAAATAAAGCATATGTTATCAAGATCGAGAAAGCATCATCAAAAACTGGTTTCTCCAGTAAAAAGTCCCCGAAATGTTTCTGGTAGGAATGCATCTCGATTTATCGGCGCTGCTACTAGAATTTTGGAACCTGGGTTGCAGAGGAGTAAGTCAAAATGTGCCCTTGCTTACTCGAATGCTATTGATCACCCTCCTACAGCAGATGCCTTCTTGGTGGAGGCAAATGATGTGGAGTCATTCCAAGATGCTAGGTGTTTTCAGACTTCTGCTAAGCCACTCAATGGGCAGTCATCATCTTGCACAAACTGCGGTCATTCGCTTGGTGGAGTGAGTACAGCAGAACAACAACCGGCTTTATCATCTGTCTCACAATTTGTGCATCCTCCTTGTCAGATGTTGGAAAGGGAGAGCGGAAGACTTGCCATATTCTGCCCTGAGCTAGAAAAGGGTAAAACTGAAGAGGGTTCCCAGTTGTATGCTGCTGCTGATATGGAAGGTAGACAGCCTTGTGCAAACTATATGCCAGAGATAAAGCTTCTCAAGAAAGCAGGTCAAAGACTGTGGCAAGCAGCTAGTCCACAAGGTAAGCTTCAGAAGGATGTATCTCCAGCTTGTTTAAGGCACAAGACGCAGGGGCAAGATCAAATGTTTCAGGTGAGGGACAGGTTACCTTCAAGATCGAAGTTAATTAGAGTGCAGAGCAACAGAGTATCAGCAGCAGCAAATGCTACAAATGAGACAACAAATTTAGTTTTACAGAAGCAAAACATTAGCAACCATTCCCATTTGAGGATGTCACCGAAACAGGATATCTATCGACTTGATACAGATCAGCGATTCAGAGACAGGGGGCATGATTCCTTATCTCCACTGCAGAAAAGAAGATCATTGAATAGTTCTAGGCAAAATGAAGGTTCTAGATTTGTCAGCTCTACTTTGGTCAAACCAACCAATATAAGATCTAGTGCAATTTCAGTGAAAGGCAGGTCTTCGACTAGTCATTCAACTATTGGACCCTGCACTAGTATTAGATTGGCACATCTGCAAGGAAGCATAAATGCTGATAGTAGCCAGAATGATAGTGATGTTATCTCCTTCACATTTAAATCCCCAATGAAGCGTAAGACAGGAATTCATGCAGATATGGAAGGAAAAAGAAATCAAAGTGGTCCAAATAGTGAAGGTACTCTAAGGAAATTATCATTGAATGAAAATGAGGGGAAAAGACACTCTCTCAAATCATTTCCTTTGAGTGGAGATAGTCTTGGCGTACTTCTAGAACAAAAGTTAAAGGAACTGACTTGTCAGGAGGAGGATTCTGCCTTTGGGGATACTGCACCTAGAAAAACCACTGCTGTGATTCTGCAGGAGTTGATATCTGCCTTAACAACAGAGAGACCGTCTCATTGGGATCAATTAGTTTATGGAGTCAATAACAGGGACAGCTATTTACGCTCTGATAATCAGCAACTTGACGATAAAACCTTTGCTGCTTTCCAGGTTTGTCATTCCTCTTGTTGGCAGATTGTAATGAAACTTACCTGCTGGATTACTCCTTCTAATTAACTCAATAATTGTACTGAGAACATGATATTTTATCTCAGATATCATTACAATATTTGCACACGTGTTTAATCATAAGATAAATAGAGGGTTTTGAAGGATGGAACTTGATTTTCTCTGTATTCGTTCTCACTTAAATAAGGAGGTAGCAATTCTCAACTTAAAACTTTTTAAGTACCTCTTTGTCGAGGAAATGTCCTGTTGCTCTTCAACTCTTGTATGGTAAACAGGACATGGGTTCACATGAATTATGGCAATAAGCAGAAAATGAGTTCATGTTGAGTGTTGAAACAAATTTAGAACAAATTCATTGACAAAAGTTCCTATTATCATCTGCGGTTTTGCTAGATAATTCCTCACTCTGATATACCGTCCATTTCTTTTATGCAATTCATTCATTGAGCTGCCAAATATAATAAACATAATTTGAGCAGCACATGATTTTGTTATGTGATTAACTAGTACTACTGTAGTACTCACTTTTAGCATGCTACATTTAGAGATGCTCCCAATCAAAATTCATGTTATATAAATTGGAAATGCTAAGAGCTGTGGTCTATGTAGAGAATGATTGAACTTAAGCCTTCCTTTCTTGCAGTGGACTTGCTCTCCATCCAAAGCAGATAAATACCGATGTATATTTGTACAGATTATTTGTTTCTTGCTTATCTCTTTTTGGACTGACAAGCATATAATACCTCTAGGGGAAGGGGGAAAAAAGTAAGAGGGATAACAGCTTCTTCATTGTTCAGCCTTGTATGCTGCATATTAAGTCAAAGTGGTATGACAAAACAAGTTCTTGATAATTTAGAAGAATTCATTGTGCTGCTTTTACAATGAGTAAAGGAAACTGTTTGAAGGTAGGTATTAGTGAGTTTGGCAGTCAATTCAACTATTAGCTTGAGTGCACATTTTTTGCAGAAGAGATTCTCGTTTCATTAAGGGTAAAACAGTTTTCATATCTGTTGCTGGTCACTTTTTCAGGCTAAGTACATTGATAACTAAATGAATTGCTTATTTTATTTGTCAGGAATGTGTTAGAATATTAAGATAGTATTTGCTACTAGTGCGATTTATTTTGATATTCTGGAAGGCAAATTAAGTGGCATGTACAATTACATGGACTTGAGTTTCTTTGTCTCTGTGAAGGAATGGTGACTTCCCTCATTAATACCAATACTAATGTATGTTCAGATGTAATAGGATTTTTTCTCTTTTAATGTGTTTTTGTTGACATGCCCTTGTTAGACGGCATGCTTGATTGGAGACGATTGTCCACCTATGATCTTTATTTTGGTTTTCTCTTCACAGGCCAAACCAAAATCAACCAAGATTTCAGTTGGATATCTACCTAATGGTGAACATCTAAGCCCTGGATCTGTTCTTGATGCCTCTTTTTCCAATGACAGCTTTGCCTCCAGTAGTCTGGATGATGGCTCAAGTAAATGGCTCTCAAACTCTTTGCTGTTGAAAAGATTTCCAGTAAATAGTCTGTTGTTTCACTTACAATAATTGTACATCTTCTAGATGTACTCAGCAAAGATCTCAAATGCTATTTCATTTCTTATTATCCAAATATTTGCTTCTAATTCCAGGGTGCAATCTGGGTATGGAATCTACGGAATACTATGAAGGACAACGTCAACTGGAGACTGATGCAGATCTTTTGGACTCTGCATGCTCATTAAGCATGGGAAAGTTCTATAGAGAGTCGGTAACCCATCTCCTCAACAACATTTCTGAAGTTTTTAGCGCTATAAACCTTGCCGATGGCCATCTGAAGGGAAGAAAGCTCACACACGCAAAGGAGGTCATTTTGAATGCTGAACTGGTGTTCGTAAACGCAGCTCTGCCTGATGCAGTTGTTAATGGAGGCTTTTCAATCAGTCATTTTGTCCTTAATGAACTGGAGCTGCTAGCGAGCGTCATGTGGACAAACTTTAGTGGCTTTGCTGCTTTTGATATTAATAAAGAAGGAAATCAACTAAAAGGTTTTGTGTTTGATTGTGTCATTGAATATTTGGAGTCGAGATTTGCCCGATATTCAAACTCCGGATTCAATGCCTGGACAAGACTTCCTCTCCGCATGAAAACTGAAATGCTGATATGTGAGATTGTTGAGGAGGTTGGAAGGTGGGCAGGATTGGCTGGCCTAATGGTTGATGAACTAATAGAACAAGAAATGAGTCACTCTTTTGGGAAATGGACTGATTTTGAGCTTGAAGCATTTGAGACAGGTACTGGAATCGATCAGCAAATACTCCAAAGCTTGATTACAGAGGTTGTAGTTGACTTTATATGCTCCAGTGCAAGCTAAGGCTGCTAAATATGGACTTGCTAATGGCCATGTACCCTCTTCTAATTGACTCCTCCTCTCTTCTTGTTCCGGTCCTAATGGCATTATTTTTGTAGAAAGTAATGGATTCAAATTGGGTACTCTTTACTACAACAGAAGCTATTGAATCTGTAAAAAGTATTGTATTGCTAAATTACCTTTCTTTTCTTTTCTTTTTTTTTTCCTTGCCCCGTTTATCCTATTTGAGAAGCTGCATGTGATGGGTAATACTTTACCTTGAACAGCTGATCCTGTACTTCTAGAAAGGAAAATCTAACAGGGAAACAAACGTGCCGTATCTAGTCCAGCCATACGAACAAAGTGGAAATTGAGGAAACAATAATCTTTCGTGGAAGCAACGTTAACTAGCAGGTCTTAATTGAGGCAGATACCTGTAAGTAAATGCTCATCAAGGATTTGGTAACAGCAGTCACTTTTTATGTAAACGAACAAAACGGCTCTTTAGCAACGGAACGAATAAATAACTATTATAAGAAAATAAAAAAAAAAGAATGTGATTATGTGAATCAATCCGTATCATCACAAATAAATCCAATATTCTATGTTACACCAAATCACTGTGCTCTGCTCCTACACAGTAGAAAATCCATCAAGAAAATTATCTTGAAAGAATCTTTCAGGTGATAAACCTTTTCAAGTCAAAGAGTCAAATCCCTCTCAAGGAGTCAAATCCACCTTCGGAAAAAATCAAAGAACAAAAAGTAAACTAATGACAGAAAAAGAAAAATCATCACATGAAGAGGGAAGAATAGAATCATGGCAAAAGCAAAAGCAGCCCACTCCAAACTCAAAACTGCCTATAGCCCAAAACAGTCTTGCCGATTCCTCTTCCAATCCTTCCTCCCCTGTTTTCTGCATTGATAGCATTTCTTGCATCAGAAGCCAACCCTCGCAAATCCTCCATACTTGCATAGCTCTTCCTAGCCATCAATCCTCCACTCCTTTTCTCCCCTGAATTCACAGACTTACTCCCTCCCAGCTTCCCCATAATCCCATCAAACCTCCCAGAGTTCCCGCTTTTCGACCGCAACGGAGGGGTCACTGACTTCTCCATTGTAGGTGGCAGAGTAGGCAACGGTGGCGGCTTCCGGTTCTCTTTCCTCAGTGCCGATGAAAAATCGGGAACAGATTGAGTCAAGACAGAGGATGTTGATGTCCCTTTTGGCCTTTTTGGTGGTGTAGCAAAAATCCCTTGAAATTTGACCTGTTTCTTTGGTGGGGTTAGAATCAATTCCTCTTCTTCAAGAATTGGCTGCTGCATACTCTTCATTCTCAGCCTTGATTCTCTGAGAGCAGCATAGTCTTTATATCTCGGCCCTCTTTCCATGAAAAAAGACTCGGTAGTAGTCAATTTCAGCATTTGAGGCTGATCAGAATTAAAGAATTGGGAGAGGATTAAGGAGTTCGGATCAAGGGCAGTGTAGAAAGAAGTGAGAGATTGGTTGTGTTGCAGAGAGGCGGAGGTCCCTGCCATTGTCGATGGTAATCTGAAGAGATTTTATTGATGGATTTTGTAGTCCAGTCCAGTTTTCGGAGTTTCTAAGAGGTTTTGAGTTCACAACGGTCTAATAAAAGGGGGGCTATTCAGAGGCCCCACGTTTTTCCCCAACGTTAATATTTAGGTAGGTCCTGTTTATGTTGGAAAAGGCAAACCAAATCACAGGAAGAGTGGACTACTTGGGATATATATATATATATTTTTTTTTTTTTAAGGAGTGGACTACTTGGGATTTGATCGCATTCCTTTCTTTTGTACTAATCATTTCTTTGAGAGATTAGAAAGTGAGAAACAAAATCTCTTTTATGTGCCCACCAAAAAAAAAAGAAAAAAAAGGAATAAAAGAAATAGAAAGGAGTACTTTGTGATTAGTACAAAGCTAGTGAAGTTTTGTCTCCTGCGATGTGCTTTAGAAATTGTTACCACATCCAAATTTTCAGGATCCTATGCATTACTAGAAGTTAACTTCTGGGAAGCCACTACCTTTTGGGTTCATTGTTTTTGTTGGATGTCTTTCCCTGTTTGGTACCAGGACGGCTATCAGTTCACTCTACAAATGGCTGCTGCTGGATTAGATTTACTTGCGATGCTGCTGTTTCAGTGCCGAACAAAAATTGTTAACGTCAACATACCTGAACTGACGTTATATTTGCTACTAATTTATGAACTGCAAAATTGTGTAATGCTCATATTCTTGCGAAACATCTACTTCTTTTCGGTGAGAGAGTTGTTTTATCCGCTCAAGTTCTTCCCGGCTACTGCTATCTTAATAAGTAACTACAAAGGTTTTCTTGATTTGTACGTTAATGAAAGATTGCATCTCACTGTTTCGGCAAAGTGTCTTATACCTTGAAAGGGTGCCAGTTGGATGAATGTTTATGTCTTCGTTACAGACCTCAAAGGAAAATAGCGGACAAGGTTTACAAGACAAAAGTACCAGAGAGAGAGATGCTAGTAAGAAACAAAGCTATTGAAATCCATTTACTTGAGACATCAGCCTGCATGTATAAAGTTACTTTTGGAGCTGATTCCAAATAGAGTCCAGTCTCAATTGACAGCTTTTCCTACAATATATTCTGCTAGATGACATCTCTATACAAAATTTGTTGGCTTCAATTGTGTTATACTTTATGATATTTGTATTTCTGCCCAAGATTAAATCTTGTAATTCTACTGTTGAATCCTTCCTGGATCAGGGCTCTAACAGCTTCAACACCCTGTTCCAGCGCTGCGTCTATCTGCAAATTATGAAAGAAAGTCATTAGCTCCAAGCAAATGTACAGTTGATACATAGCTGCAACAACTTAAAGTTTATCTTCGTTCCGGTCCACGAATTCAGCAGCAGACGAGCAGTACTTCTATGGGGAAATCCCAGAAAGAACAGAAAGTGTATTAGCATTATAGACCTATACTTTACAGTATACCGTAAGGGGGATGGTCATATGTAACCTTTAATGAGGAATCAAGTCCATTTTAACACTATGCTCTTCGTAACAGAATAAACAACCTAATCCTTGGTATAGGGCTGACAAAATCTTTTACCTGCTCTCGCTCCACTGTACTGAACTTCTGAAGTAGAAAAGCCTTCATGTCCATGGTACCAGGTGGATTTCCAATGCCTACAAGAGAACGTGAGTTTGACCTCAAGCTTAGGACAAAAGTATGTTATTACCACAAGCATGGAATCCAAAATACTAACCAATGCAAAACCGTGGAAATTCGCGACGGCCATCCAAATGCTCCATTACGCTCTTCACCCTGTGACAGAAAAGCAAAAACTGTGGCTATCCTAATTCAGCAGTAAGAATGACAGGTAGTTAAAGTGTAATGCAGAAAGAGCAAGCATGCCACATAGTAAGACTTTCTTTTTTTCGAAAGAGCTACATATTGAGCCTTAGAACAGAATATATATGATCTTTGATAGCAGCAACATGATAAGATTCCAACATTTAGATTTGAGGGCTCAACAAGGATAATTATCGTCATATCAGAAAATGCAAATAAAAAATATTTGAGAAAATTCCTCAGTTAATTCACATAACAGTGATACAGGAACAGAGTGTCTATCTACATATTTACACATGCAATATGAACTAATCAATCAAGTATTGGGAAAGATGAAGGCAACACACCTTATTTCTGAATGATTATAAACTAAATGCAGAAAAATGCCCTACAACTTGGCTAATTACTAACACCATGTCCAAGTACACAAAGTGATTACCGACAACATTTAAGATGAACTGAAGACCGTCACATTGATGGTCAGCAACTTCTTCACCAAATTCAGGTGTTTAGTTTAAATCAAAGAACTATTTCTAGTTGCCTAAAAAAAATTTCTAATTGCCAACATGGCAAACAGGCGCACTGCTAGCAGACTCTTCAAGCTTAAGAAAGAAGCTGGTTATCGGGGTCGAAGTCCCATCAAGTAGAATGGCATTTTAGGCCGCTAAATGAGCATGTGTTACTGACCAAGCTAAATGGAAATAGTCAAAATTCTAAGATGAAATATGTGATACTTCAATTGAGACAACAATGACTTGTTAGCCTACACATAACTGGGGCATTTAGAGACTGTTAACTTTTTAGTCTTCTCTTCTATAATCTAAACTTCTTTTGCTTGCAATTTACAAGCACATATATTTTACTTGAAAAAAGAAGAATTCAGTCAACCACACATGCACTCCGAGGTGTGAGGAGATTAAATAAAGTCAACTGACACAAAGTGTGACAATAACATTTTAGTTATCTGGAATTTTATTTATTTATTTTTTATAAATCATTGTCCAATAACTATACCCATTGTGATGACCATGACCTCCTTTGGGTTGAAGCCGTAAAACACCATTTGGTAAGCTCATCTCGTCATAGACCTACAAAATGATTAGATGGCTCAGAAATATTTCGTTAGAAAGGAAAAACATGCATCATCAATCTCACACCACATTAACGAGAAAATGTTTTAATAGCACATGGTAAAAAATGCAAACCAGTAGGATGTGGCGCAAAGGTACTCTGTAGTATGCAGCAAGTGGTCCAACCTAGTAAAAAATAGAATGAACAATGATCTAGAAATTAATTACTTGAGACGCAGGACAGCAATTAAGCAGAAAGTCAGGTTTTCTGATGCCAATCATATGAAGTGAAAGATAACAGTTCAGAACATCCAGAGTAGAATAAGAAACAGATATCTAGACAATTTTAATAAGGCTGTATTAAGTTGCCAAGCAGTGGTTGATTGCTATGAAAATCTAAAGCAGCAAAGCAAACTGCAAACAGCAAGTAAAAGGAGCAGGGTGCAATTTAGAGAAAGCAAGTCAAGCTTAGGGGTTTAAAGACAACGTCCAATCACAATAGGAAGATGTTAATTTGCACAAATGGATAGGGAGAAAAACTTGATGACGAACGAAATATTACTGCATAAAAGATATGCTGACCATTGATATCTTCAACGTTTATGCAGCTGCTAATTTATTGACAGTGCAAAGCAAGATCTAAATCTATGGTCACATGTGTCCAACATTTTCTCACATAGATATATTAACCTTAAAAAAAAATTCGAGTGATTGTTTGAGTGCCACAACAAAGGGTCAAACTGGTTTCGGGTTTGTTGCAGAAACATATTATAAGATATTTCTTTAACTGAGAAGAACAATGTTGTTTGAGTTTATCCTTGTGTTGCAATGGTTAGCCACTCTCAAAAGTTTGCAGCTAATAAATTATGCTGGTGTTCAATCATATTGGGTTTTCAAAATCAAATACAACAAGAATAATAGTAAAAGTAGAAATTCATACATAATTGTTGTCCAAAGAACCAAGTACCAATACATTGGACAATTTAGTATGCATATACTCCTATTAAAAACAAATGTCGAAGACACGTAATTATGGTAAAAGTCTTCAACCTATAACCTATTGAGTAACGAGAACATACTGATTCACCACTATAGTTCATGTACGCCTGAGGTTTGGCCAGCAAGACCGGAACTTCTCCAATAGAACCTGCATAGATTAAGCCAAAAAGGTTTGAGCAGCCATATAAACTGCCCTACGAGTATAGAATGAAGCTAATTCAGACAATTTGCCGAGTATGTAGTGAGCAACATAAGCACCTATTCCCACCAATGCCTTTGACTGTATAGTGTTCATCACAATGCCTTCTGCTTGGGATATGCAATCTATCATTTCAAACCCAACCTAATAAAAACAAAGCAGATTACATATGCTCAAAATGGTATTTAGCACTTGAACAAATAATGCACGAAATTATCAGGAATGCACAACAACCACCCAAAAAAGAAATGAACTTGTTTATACATTGTGGCGTGTCCCGTGATATTTATTTCCGGGGTTTCCCAATCCAACAATAAGCCATGGGGTATACTCCACTTTAACCCCATTGGATTCTGGCAATGAAGCCGAAACACGAAGTCTTGTTGGAGCTAAATGCCGCAGATGAAAGCAGGGTCTTCTTGGATAAGATATATTAGCACAAGTTTTGGGCGCAGATATAGCGTGCAACATTGACCTTCACAACAGAAATCTGTGAAACCAAAACAGTTAGTTTGTAAAAATCCAACCATTAAACCACAGAATCCAACCAGACCAAACTTACTAAGTAGAAATTCATTCGATACAGAAAATGGGCTTGCATTAGAATAGCAAATACAAAAGAAAAACAGAGGATACAAAAAGGTACCACTGCAAATTTAAGCAATAACCAATTGCAGTGACAATCAGCAGTTAGCAAACAGCAATGCCACTGATTTCTTCCTCAAACCAGGGGCTGGAAGCCTGGAACAACTGATTTTTCCTTCTTCTGCTGTTATCTATTTGCACTCGTAGCAGTGTAGAATATATTATTATGTTTTCCTTTTCCTTTTCCCTGATATTTTTGTTCCCGTAAAATGAAGTCCAACCACAACGGCGTCGTCTTCGGCGTACTAGAGCCCCAACACTTAAATTTAATCGTTCAA